TGCATTTTATTTACATAACAATGAAATATAATATACAATAGTAAAAAACTATAATAAAAAAAACTAAACCTATTTACTTAGTTATCATACAGTCCTACTCCCCGTGGACCCTTGCACCTCTGGAAAGGAAATCCGGCTGTGAATGTAGAGGAGGGACGATATTTATTAAAAAATCTAAACATATCTCTACAGCACTTAAATCTTTATATAATATAGCTTCATATTGATGTGGAATGTGCTGTACCCCGTATCTTTCCCTGAAACAATCATTTATAGCCTAAATAAAAGCATTTTGCTCAATAAATGAAATATTATCACAATACTCCCCTGAATTTATTTCATATTGGTGAATATGTAGTCGTTATTCTTTGACAGCTGACAACGGCTCTGCAGAAATATTTTCCTTTATAAATGGGTATTATGTCTGAAATCAAAAAGAAATATTATTATAATTGTCTTATACATTTATTGATCTTTAATGTAATTTTATAGCCAAAATTGGCCTCTGAATAACAAAATAAAATAAATTATATATACATAGATTTAGACAATTGAAAAAAATTTGACAATTTTATAAATATAATTATAAATTTTAATTATAAATAGTTATATAAATATGTAAAAAAAAATGTTTACCTACTGAAAATGAGTTTCAATAAACTGTCTTCTAATATTTCCCCTTATTGATGGTGTAACATATCTTTGTACTATAGGTTCAGATGAATATTGTTCAATGCTATCTCTCTCACCAGAAAACACATCTTCTCTCATGTCGATGGCCATATTGTGTAGTACAGCACATGCAACAATTGTTTTTTTGCTGTTTCAATATCTCCAAACATACCTCTTAATAGGCAACAAAACCGTTGCTTCCACAAACCAAAACATCTTTCCACTGTGTTCCTGGTACGGATATGGCTCCTATTATATCTTTCTTCTTGTGGTGTTGTGGGGTTCAGCAGCGGTGTAAATAGGTAAGGAGTACAAGGATAGCCACTGTCACCAAGTAATATTCCAGAGAATGCACCAGCCTCAAACCTCTGTTTTAGTCTACATTCTCGGAATATTCTGGAGTCATGTACACTACCACGCCACCTGGTAACAATGTCCATGATTTTCAGGTCAGCATCACAAACCACCTGTAAAATAAGAGCTCATTAGTACTTTATGTTTTTCTGGTTTATTTTAATATATATTTATTACCATAAGATAGTCAAACAAATTATTTTCTATTATGATAAAGTAAAGCTATTAAGAGACAATCACAGCTATTTAAAATATTTGTATATTACCTGTACATTAATTGAAGAAAATCCTTTTCTATTAATATATAACTGACCCCCATCAGCATTCACTTTCTTTACTCGTATGTGAGTACAGTCAATTGCGCCAATTACTGTAGGAAAATTAGCAATACTGCGAAATTTCCTAATGGTTTCCTGTTGTTCATTTAAAGTAGTAGGCATTTTAATAAATTCTCGGGAATTCCGTGACAAAATTTCCGCTACTTTTTTACATGTCCTACTGACTACTGGTTGAGACACACTATGTAAATTAGCTGTATCGTCTTGAATCTACGAATAAAACAATAATATGTATTATTTGGCTTTTTATCTAGCGTAATGTTAGGTACATTGACCCCACCAAGATTATAAACAGCACTTACTTCATGGCGAGCCCAGTTGCGTAATGCACAAACCACTTGAATTTCAGGACTCAATGGGCACCCTCGAGGGTCGTGCACTAAATCCTCACGTAAGGTACCCACTATTTTTTCTCCGAAACGTTTTGAGAACCTATACTTATACCTAAAATCTTCGTCACTCAATTCAAACGGATTCACACGATGTCGATGTCTATCAGGTCGCCGAGTGGTCTCCAGCATGTCCAAATCTTCTAAATCCATCAAGTCAATCATGTTAATATCCATTTTTAACGATTTTAATAACACCAAATGAAAACAACGCTCACCTCAAATTAAGAAGTACCGAAATTGAGGTTAGTATAGAGTACCACAAACTATATAGAAAGGTTAGTACCATAGCTAAACTAGGGGTCTCGAAAGATTAACTTTAATACCATAGATAATCCTTGAACCAGAGATAATCTTCGTTTTGTAATAACGTTTTTCTTAGTTTATGGTTTAAATATATTACTAACTCCAGTACTATATTAAGTCCGTGTTTTGGAATAAGGCGGTGTAAGTTTAAAGGTACACGCCATTAAAACGGCAATTTCATATTTATAATCCTATTATTCAATATAAAAGTCAGCGTAAATATGACTAAGTAAATTATATTTCTTAGAAGAAAAGGTGTTTGAATTTTTCGTTACGACATCGGCAATTTCCTAATTTAATCTCTAAAATATTGCCACCACGTATTCATACGAATTTATCATCCTTTTATTTAGCCTTAATGCTAACAGCAGGATGAAATGTTTTTTAATATATTCGACGTGCTCAGCCCGTTTTTTAAACGCCGGCGAAATTTCTATGGTGTGTAACTTTGTGTCTGTCACTCATCACTCACTCACTTACCATCAGCTCTTTTTGTTTCGTGGGTTTTTTAATTGCACGCTTCACAAGGCCAGGGCGTGCTCTACTCTCGATATGTGGCCATACCTCAATTTCGCGACATAAGATTGTTTGTTATAGTTTTAGATAGACATCAAATCCATATTATTATTAACTTTACAATAACTACAGACATTGAATTATAAGATTAGTTTATTTTCTAATTAATTTACTTTATATTACATAACAAAAAATTTAATTGAAAAAAAAAATAGACTGCCGACCGTTGGTCTGTGCGTCGGTGAAACTTCTCGCTTACTAGAATTAATGTAAGCAATAGATTGAGATATATAATATAATATAAAATAAGATTCCATATATTCTAAGGAGAATCCCTATTGATTTTTGTTATTGAACTTTACACCGTTTAAAAGTTATTAATGAAAGTCGATCAGTTTATCTGGTTTTTTCACTAGTGAAGTTATCCTCACTATTTTTATATAGTTTGTTTTTTCATCAAAATTAAATGAAACGCTCATGAGGCGTGCACTTTTGGGTTTTCCAAATTGTTTTTAATTTAAAGTTTTACTTCACAAATCTATTCAAAGCTTATCATTGGAGCTCTAATGTTTCCCATCATACTTTCCGTCCTTTATTGCACTTTTACTACTTGTACTGTATCTTTTTTTTCTTTTACTTAATTGTCTATTTTATTTATGGTTTTTTGTACGCCTTCCATATTATTTGCCATTCGTTGTAATCAATAGTACTTTGCGCAAGAGCGATAAGACCGCCTATTGTACCGTTTATGTAATTTATTTTATTTTATTTCGTTGTAATGTATAGGTATCGATGTATAAAAATAATATATTGATTGATTGATTGGTTGATTGATGCTTCATTCGACGGTGCTAGTTATCCTTAAATCTATAAATAGTTTGATTTAGAAATATTGGAATTCCCAACGGTGATCAGAAAGCTTATTATCGACATTATTTTATAGTACTTAGTGCTAGCTGTCAAGAAGTTGTCTCATTTTAATCGGTTGGGGAAATTGCAGACCACGTTTTAGGAAATTTGTTTTCCTTATTTGTCTTGGCTACTCTCTTGCACGTACGGATATTAGAGAAAGATAATCCTTTCGATGCTATACAAGATTTATTAAGTACCTACATTCTCATTTTCCACTATTACTTCTAGGTACGTTATGAACTTTAACATAAGACACATCTATTTTCTGTGATGTAAGCGCTGTTAAAAATATGAAAGGTTCTCGAGTGGCAGCCTCGTACCGGTAGGCGAAGTGTAGGGCGTCCCCCCACGAGATGGAGTGACGACCTGGTAAGACATGCAGGAAGTCGATGGATGCAGGTGGCTCAGGACCGTGCTTTGTGGCATTCTTTGGGGGAGGCCTATGTTCAGCAGTGGACTTGTGAAGGGCTGTAATGATAATGATGATGAAGCGCTGTTAGCGTATGCGACTCTTACAGCTTTACCTGACAAGGCTTGAAAGGCCGCGAGCTGATAAGACTTATATAGCAGTTATTCATTTTTTGATAAATAACAATATTTTGGTGTTGTGTTATACATATAATTACGCCTCTTTCCATTAGGGGTAGGCAGAGACCACTTCTTTCCACTTGCTACGAACCTTACATACTTGTTTCGCTTCGTCCACTTTCATTATTCCCTTCATACATGCTCTTCGGTTTAGGGTACTCTTGACCTGGCCTTTTTTCAAGACGTCCCTGATTTGGTCTAGAAACGTCCGCCTTATACACCTTATTCTGTTATACCTGATGGTGTGTGCTGTGGCTTATAGACATCGACGTTTATCCTCGATTAAAAATCGATATGTAGATGCGTTGTCACCACTGAGGGTCCCGGTTCGCTACACTTACCATACGAAACACAGCAGTGTTAAGCTCTTATTGTACGCTGATATTCTGTGAGAGCGTTGGCCTTCCCCGGTCGAGTCGACCTATTCGTGCTACTAGAATATAGACCCATTCGTACTACAACTAGAATATAGTTGCAGCATGGCTCTACCACGTACAACGTGAATACTACAAACAAAATTAATTTTACGCATTTTATAGCGTTTAATTTATTTTTTAATTTCTGACGTTCTTGATCTCTGCGTGCCCAGCGCTTTACAGTACCCAGGATTGTATGTGGTAGAGGTTTTATACAAAGTAAAGCCACTCGGCAGCGATTATGCTCTCACAGAATACCAGCGTAAAATAGCAGCTTAACACTGCTGTGTTTCGTATGGTGAGTGTAGAGAACCGGAGACCCTTTTTACAGGAAACGTGGCATTCCATCTTAGACCTTAGGTATAACAACGCATCTGCATTTCAATTCTAAATCGAGGATAAAAGTTAATGTCTATCCACTTACCATCAGATGGACTGTGTGCTCGTTTGTCACCCTTATTCTATACAAATGGTCAAGGGGTAATACATAGTATAATTTTTCTTTTTAGTTCACAGTATCGATTGCTTCAAATGCGTGTCGATGAACGGCCGGTTCCCAGCTTGCGACGACCCGTTCCATAACAACCACTCGCTGCAGATGCTCGAGTCGCCCTGCATGGGGGGTAGAAAAGGCAGGGATGGTTTGTTCCCGGCAACATCTTGTATCAAGATTGCTGGGGTTTTTGGTAAGTGAATGAAAAAAGAAATAGTCCTTTTTATATGTAGTCCACCATTACGAATGCATCAGCGCGGCGACACGTTTTGTTATCGTGATTATACATTTTTTTTTAATTTTTAAAAGCGTTACCTCCACACTAGGATTTTCTCCTGTATCATGTGGGTTAGTATACATACATAAATTTCACAAGAACAAACATCCAGACCCGGAACAATTATTTGTAGGCCATACAAATACTTGTTCCGTGCGGGATTCGAACCCGCGACCCTTAGCACTGTAACTCATTGCTAACCCACTACACTACACAACTTTCTAGAAGTCTAGCCAAAATCTCTCTGTTGCAACATCGCGGCAGATAAAATCCAGGTACTGGCGATTCAGTAACCAGCGACAGATGTTCTTTCTAAAAGTCCTATCTAACCTCTCTGTCGTACATATTATCGGCAAAGAAAACTCTTATCGAGTCGGCATAAACATCGTTCGACGTGCAAAGAAAAGTGGAGATTGCCCGCCGGGCGAGTTTCAGTTCGGAGAACCGCCAATGCTCCATGCTGTAGTTCGAAACTTTTTTCATATGTGCACACTCGTTGAGAAACTTCGATATTCTTCGTTTACGCTCACGGGGACACTGCACTAACGAGGGCCTTCCTCTTCCACTCACCAGATGTCGCTAGTTGTGACCGAGCGGAATCTTGTGAAATTTTCACCAACTTGTAGACGGCCGTTTAACTTGAAAATTTGCATCAAGGATGACAATACAATAATTTATTGACTTTATCCTACCAGGATAAAATAAAATGATCAGCTTAAGATCGATGCGTGTTGTTTGGGTATTTCTAAAGTCCTATATTATTTTCTTTTCAAAACGTGATCGTAACATGAGATGATTCAGTTTATACCACTGTAGGGGTCCCAATTGTCGCCCCCACCTCACTGTAGGTGACCTCCTAAGGCCATAATTGACCTAGTATAACATAACGTTTAGTAGACGGATGGACAATCGTAATTATTGCTTTACATTTTTAAACTTAATTCCCAAAAGTTTTATTTTTATTGCAACTAAGATATTCACAGCTCACAAGCTCACAGCTTATAATTACTGGCTCTCCATACACCTCAGAACATAGCAGTTACCCTTCAGTCCGGAAACGATCAGGTGTCCGTCTCGTTAAATACATTTAGTAATAGTTGATTATCGCTTATTTAAATTTAGTGTTAATTGTCTCTATACCATTCTCATTTATATTTAGTGAAGAGTGAGAGAGCAACTTTAAAGTTAAAGTTACAGCCTATATACGTCTCACTGCTGGGCACAGGCCTCCTCACATTTATGAGAGGGTTTTAGAGTAAGGAAATGTCCGCCGCGCTGCCCCAGACCATGTTGGCGAACTTCACATGTCTTTAAAAAATGTTTTTCTTATATCTCAGACATGCAGGTTTCCTCATGATGTTATATTTCAACGCCCCTGTACCATCACGACAAGGCTTAAAATTTATCATAAAAATCGACGTTAAATAAGAAAGGCTTAAAACTTTAAGCCTTTCTTAATTTACGTCGATTTTTATGAGCGAGACCGTTTGTTTTATGCTATTTAAGTCAGCTTCTCTTTCTTTCACAGATGACACCGGTGAGAGCATCACGGTTCGCGGTTGTGGCCTGGACTCTGGCACTGCTACCACTGACACGGAGATCATACGAATGTCACACTGCGGTCGGTTTTACTATAACGACCGGTGAGTTCGTTCACGCTTTTGTTCATTACATCGTATTAAAAGTCCACTGCTGAACATAGGCCATAGACATCTGCCTCACAGGGGAGATTACTGCGACAGTTGCCACGTTTGACAGGCAGGTTGGCAACCGCAGTTTCTATTATAATGAGTTCTCTTTCTATTTAATTATTTTTAAGCGTCATTAGCTTAACTCGAAAGGTCGTGGGTCCGAATACACCATTAGACTACTGTCGTGAACCACTTCTAATAGAAACATTTTAAGCTTACCAGAAGTGGCTTAAGGGAATATTAGTAATGTTACTTTTATACGTGGTAGAGCCATGCTGCAGCTATATTTCTGGTATAGTTGTAACACGAATGGGTCGGCTCGACCGGGGAAGTACGACGCTCTCACAAAATACCAGCGTAAAATAGCAGCTTAATGCTGCTGTGTTTCGTATGGTGAGTGTAGAGAACCGGAGACCCTTTTTACTGGAAACCAGGCATTTTATCTTAGTCCTCACGGGTGACAACGCATCTGCATTTTGTTTCGTAATCGAGGATAAATGTAGATGTCTATGGGCCTCTATTTACTTACCATCAGGTGGACTGTGTGCTCGTTTGTCACCCTTATCCTATAAAAAAATAGCATTACTAGTATTTTAAAAAAATTCGGAGTGTCTGCGAGAAATTTTGTTTAAAATTTGTATGTTTTGTGATTGGTTTGACTGGCTCGTTGATTTGGTCTGGTGGTCGTAAACGCGATAACTGATCATGAGGTCGCGGATTCGAATCCCGGTGTCGGGTCAAAATCAGTTATTGGATATTCTGTCAAGAAATGCTCAATGGCAGCCCGGAGTCAGGAAGTCTCGACCCCGCGCCTCGGAAAGCACGTAAAGCCGTTGGTCCTGCGTCTGATCTCTCTCCGGTCGAGTCGGTTTACCGTCCCATTGGACTATGAACGTGTGGGAACAAAGAAGGCATCTGCGTAACACTCTGAGTTCATTCGCGAAAGAGCCACGCTACAGTGTATTATAGATATAGGCAAAATCAGTCAGCTAGATCAAGATAGGACCACGCTCTCACTTAACATCAGCATAATTTTTTTTATAGGATAAATGTGACAAGCGAACACACAGTTCACCTGATGGTAAGTGGTTGCTGTGGCCTATAGACATCTACATCTATCCTCGTTTGCAAATCAAAATGCAGATGCGTTGTCAGCTGTGAGGACTAAGATGGAATGCCTCTTTTCCAGTAAACGGCTCTGTGGCGCAGTGGCTTAGCAATGAGTTGTTGCGCTGGGGGCCGCGGGTTCGAATCCCGCACGGAACAAGTATTTGTATGGCCTACAAATAATTGTTCCGGGTCTGGATGTTTGTCCTTGTGCAATTTGTGTTTGTAAACTGCCTCCACAATACAGGAGAAAATCATAGTGTGGGGGTAACGTTTTACTAATAAAAAAAGGTCTCCGGTTCTCTCACCATACGAAACACAGCAGCATTAAGCTGCTATTTTACGCTGATATTCTGTGAGAGCGTGGTCCTTCTCCGGTCGAGCCGAACCATTCGTGCTACAACATACGATTAATATAGCTGCAGCATGGCTCTACCACGTTCAAAATTATTTACACGTTAAAAATTTATCTTAGCACAAAAATTCTGTTTCGTATGTATATATGCTTCTCAGAATTCTAGCGTGAAACAGAGGCAGAATGTTGATGTGTTTCGTATAGTGTATGACGATATCCGCAGACGTTAAGGCAGGTTAAAAACGCAGCTGTTTGCAAGGAATCGGGACGCACTATCGCAATAACGCATGCGATATTATCGACCTATAATAACATGCCTGCCTTTACTTACTAGACCTTTCCGATCGAAGCGTTCTATCTTAGTCCGCAGGGATAGCAATGTATCTGTATTTTGGTTCTGAATCAAGGTTATACAGGGTTATTTTACAATAACCGGTCAAATTTGCGGAGAAGGTTCAGAATAAGTAATATAGCTAGCTTCTTAACCCCGGGCTGCTATTGAAAAGTTCTTGACAAAAATACTCTCACACTCCTTGATCGGCAAACGTACTTACGGCCACTCGATCAACGATCCAGTCGAGAAGACTCTGTACAAGAAATAATAATATTGTTTTATTAATAATTTTAAGGTACGTCCACGGCTGCCTGCAGAGCTGCAACGATGCAGACGCCTGCAACTCATCGCACACAACCACGTCGTTTCTATTTTTATTTTTCGCGCCATTTTCACTAATATTTGCGACGTTAGTGGTGCGAAGCTAACAGAGATCCTAAATTAACGTAAAACTAAATTAATAATACTATGCTTAAACGTTAATTTGTAAGTAGTTAAGCATTAATATATTATGTTATTTAGATATTACTGGATTTAATGCTGGGTATAGACACTCGGTAATTTTGACCGGAGGAAAAAAATCATAAAATCTTTATGTAAAATTTTAAGCTCTAAAGATTTTTATTACAATTTTTTGTGTATATTTTTTACCGTTTTCGAGTAATTGAGAAAATAAACTTCTGACTATATTTTTTCAACCCTTACCGGCAAACACGAAAACCTTTACACATTGTTTTTGTATCATTAAAACTACATTATGTCAAAAATGCAAAGGTGAGCGCCAGTATTTTGGTTTTAGACCTTATTTGACTGGACTAATTAGCATTTAATTGTGTTATTATCATGTTATAATATTATTCATATATTTTACACAGGAATAGAAGTTTGTTTCCCAACTGCTACTCCGTATTATTACTTCGATTCAATATATATCGATATACAAAAATCATGCACCCATTATACATTCATTACAATCTACAAAAGTTTGCTGCTGAACATAGGCCTCCCCCATAGATTACCTCAAAGGGGAGTTATGTCATAGTTACTACCCTTGGCAACCGCAGTTTTTTATTATTCTGAGGTGCTATCAGAAGGATGCTGCTGCCCATCTCGTGGTTCAGTTACCTTTTGTCATCTATAACAATACCCACGTTATAATATGGGATAGCGGTTATTTTTATATCGCCACTACGCAGTAAAAACGCCGAATCATATATCACAATAAAAAATATAAATTCAAATTTAAAGATATGCCTCAGTCTACTGTAATTTTGCTTCAGCAATCTAGGAGTGTGTGTACTCAGCGTTATTTTATTTAATAAGTGCTTCGCATCTTATGCCACGCTACTTTGAAGAAATATATGGATAAGTATTTATAGTTATTTTTTGTATATCGTTAAAATAAAAAATTAGTTTGTATTTGTTAGCGATAACTTTATTAAAAAGCAATTGTATTATTTTAATAAAAAATATCAATGTACTTACTTAGACTTGACATGTTGAATAATTTCTAACCGAAAGGTCACTTTAATTTAAGAAGGTTGTGTTTTTAATTCACATGGTCGATTTCATATGTCTACTACTCCATTTGGATCAAAAATAAAACAAAATATTCCTACTATCTAATTGACATACTGAACAACATGACAAATATTAATAATTAAGTCAATAACTAAGTTAATAAACTTAGAGCATGCAGGGGTAGAACAACTAAAAACATCTAAATCTTTGAAACAAATGTTATTAATAGTATTAAAAATAAAATATAAATTTGTTTTTTTTTTACATTTTGGAGCCCCTGTCAGGCTGGTCTGGACTCGTATCCGTGTGCCTCAGGTGCTCAGGGTTAGAATGGAACTGTTGATAATATCATATAAAATCTATTTAAAAACAAGCTTTTATATTTTTACGAGCTTTGGGTTCGAGACGATTAAAAACTGCCGATTGAATTACCAAAATTTAACTTTAATTACAGAACACTAATTACACTAATAATAAAACACAATTGTACTACTGATCACTTTAGTTCGCAGTTGTATAGTTTCAAAGTATTCGCTTATATTGCCTATTCAATACCCTAGGCAGGTTCCAGAACCTTCTACTATAGAAACTTGTAGAATGTTCAAGTACATATCGGTCCCGATTGACTAGGTGTCGATTGTTCTAGAAAGTTCTTCCATGAAAATTTCTAGAAGCATCTTGACTCTTCTATTTCTGCTACTCTATACTAGAGGGCGCTAGTGGTAACTAATGTTGCCATGTACCTTCCATTAATTGTGGCGCGCAACAATATGTATAGGTAATGCTAGTGCCAGCATCGGAGTCCATCTACAGATCAGCTCCAAGGTTTTTGTGCTCCAAGGTTTATGTACTTAATAACAGAATTATATCGGAAGTTGAGGTAAATAAATCATATTTAATTCATAGTTAATTCATTAAAGGACAACATAATAGTGTTACAAGCTTGGGGTTTGAGACAATTAAAAACTGCCGATTGAATTACCAAAATTGACACTTTAATTACAGAACACTAATTACAATTTAAAACCACACTAATAATAAAACACAATTGTAGTACTGATCACTTTAGTTTGCAGTTATTTCGCTTCGAAGTATTCGCTTGTATCGCCAATTCAATACTGATTATTGACCCGGTCGTGATCTATACCGGTCTCAGATAGTTTCCAGAACCTTCTACTGTAGAAACATGTAGAATGTTCGAATACATATCGGTCCCGAAATTTCTAAAAGGATCTAACTCTCATATTTCTGCTACTCCATACTAGAGGGCTCTAGTGGTAACTAGTGTTGCCATGAACAAGACATTAACAGTGGCGCGCAACAATAGCAATAATTTTTGAAAGTTGTGAGTTTTTATTATTGATTTGTATTACGTATATTTTACACGTAATTTTGCATATCACGAGAAAGAGGGCTAATAAGTATTTGGAAATATATTGTCTTATTACAATAAGTGATTTATTGATGATTACGGATTAGAAATATGGTATAAGAAGAGTGCTTCTAACTTTCAGGTGTATTTTTATATATTTAAAGTATACATGAGTATAACTTGCTAAGTGTAATTTGAGTGTATAATCCCACTCGAAAATGATGCACAGATTCTATTATACACGCGAAATATATTGTTATTCAACACACACATACCCGCACACACACTACTTTGTGCTTCTTTAACTAAAGAAGTTATTGTTCCGAGGTCATCACAGTCTATCGCAAAATTTGATATTAGCTGTCAAACCTTATAGGTACTTTACTTGTATTTTATAATTGTTATTACTAAGGTTATTACTCTAAGTACTTTACGTATTATTTTCGGGAATCAGTTTCTAGTTTAACCCTAACTAATTTATAATAAGGCTGATTGAGTTTTATGTAAAGAGTTACAAGTGAAATAGATCACACTGTTCAAAGTCAACAAACAATACACTAGAAAATCTTGTATACAGGTAATTTATATAGCTTAATGACAACTTAGATAGATTCTGAGCAAATGTGATCTTAACTTTGTTTTAAATCTACAGTAATATGTAATAACATGTCAACGCTTAAGCGTTTATAAATTTGTTTATTTTTATTTCTAGAAAAAATAGTTTTAGGTAAAGGTAATGCACAATAAGTACATATTACATATTTCATGTGATGTTGGTACTATTAACTAATTGGCTCTTACAGCTTCATGATGATGATGGTGATCATTAAATATACTACAATCCTGTATAGATTAATTCAGTCAATAACTTATTTTTTTTTAACATTTGTTAAGTAGTTAAAATTGGTTTGATATTTAAGTCCAAGTAATATAATATAACCAGTTGAGGTACGAGTATCATAGAGTCTAATTGTATTGTTTTTGAAAGGATCTCAAAGTGCGAGAAGAAATAGTATCATTTCCAGACCAAGTTCCCATCCATCCATAACAGCCTATCAAGTCCACCGCTGAACGTTAGCCTCCCCCATAGATTGCCTCATAGGGGGATTGTTTGTCATAGATGCCATATTCAGGAGGCGGATTTGCAACCGTAACTTTTTATTCCTTGAGTGGTTAATATGAAAATGCTTCTGCCCATCTCCTGTTTCAGTTTCCCTTTGTTGCCTCTTACGAATTACGTATTAATGGGGTAGTGGATATTCTTACACCGCCATTTCACGGTACACCAATTTTATGTTACTAAATGTATACACAATATTCCGTAGTTTACTGTAACAGGAAAAGCCTCGTCATTTTTTTGGAACGAAGTTCCTTATCGCGTGCTACGAATTTGGCGGATGGGGGCTAGGCGATAAATAGTGTAAGATTTTTCCCTTACGACCGAGCGAGATGGAATAATATCCATTTCCCTCGCATTATTCTTATCTTGCCATTAAAAAAATATTATTTTAAATGACGCTTTATTTTAATAAATTTATTTAATTGTTTTTACATCTATCTGCGATTACGAATCAAAATGCAGATGGGTTGTCACCCGTGAGGACTAAGATAGAATGCCTCGTTTCCAAGGGTTTCCGGTTCTCTACACTTACCATACGAAACGCAGCAGCGTTAAGCTGCCATTTTACGCTGGTATTCTGTGAGAGCGTGGTCCTTCACCGGTTGAGCCGATCCATTCGTGCTACAACCATAACATTGCTGCAGCATGGCTCTACCACAATTGTATTTGTCAATCATTAATATAATACGTTTATCAATAATAATATAGTATAACGAAAGGAACATCGTTTCAACCGAGTGTTCCACGATATTCACGCATGTTTTTATTTAACTTAATAAACTATTATTTGAAATAAATATTATTTTATTTTAAATGACAATTCATTTTAATAGAAGCTATTATTTCATTTATTTGTATTTGTTAATGAATAATATAATATGATAATCAATAATAATATACTACGAAAGGAACTTCGTTCTAACCGAGTGTTTCACAACACTCACGAATGTTTTTAAATAAGGCATAAAGTGATATTGATACTATTAAACATTCTGTTTTGTTAAAAATACGTTATTAGTGCCGCTAGCGGTGAAAAACTATTTGACGTTATAACCATATCATGAGATAGAAATGTTGTGTTTAGTTATTAATATCGTGAAACGATCTCTATTCATTGATTTGGTCAAGCTATATCAGGCTTTGGTCAACAAACAATTTTAATTATAATGAAACACCATTTCACGAAATGATAGACTATGATCTGACTACGACAAAGTTATTTAAACTGATGGGCAAAATATACTTTTTCGATTTGATGATAGATGGTGCTGTTTTCAAAATAAAACGGAAATCGTCGGCCTAAATTCACAAATAGTTATTTAGGTGAAAGCTTTCAGCAAATTTTCTTGCGTTTTTTGGAATTTGAAGCTCAGGATCAGGTTGTATGTTTAACAAAATATGATTCACACCGTAGC